ACACCATTTGCTGTCACCCTGCTGCTTGGGAAGCACAGATGGTTCCCTGTGCCTGTGAAACAAATTGGGGTGAAGGGGATCCAGAGCAGCTTAACAGCCTAAAGAATGCATCATACTACATTATCCTAAAAGATAAAAGAGGGGCAGAGTTTCTCCAGGGATTTCTTCAAACACATCTGCATTTGCCTGTAGCCACCAGGCTCCACCTCAGCAGGGCATGGATAGCTTTAAACACATCCCTGCACGCCTTGGTGGCCGTGGCATGGCCACACTGGCCTGGACCATCCCTCTGTCACACCTCAGCACAAGGGGTTTAGATGCCCAAATTCTTGAAGGGTCTCGTCTTTCATAGCAGGAAGGAGTAGCACAAAGAGCGTGACATGGAGGGGAACAGCTTGGAGCAAGGGCTGGATTGCAAGAGAGATCCTGGCTACAGCACCAGTGGCCTGGAGAGCTCCAGGAACTGGTGTCTGACAGCTCCAGCAGCCCAGAACTGGTGTCTGACAGCTCCAGCAGCCCAGAACTGGTGGGCAGCTTTTCTTGGGAAGCCTTTGCAGCCCCAGGGGTGGGATTCAGCTGTCACATCCCCATTTGTTGGTGTCTCCACCTGAGCTGGTCATTCAGAACAGGCTGGCAGGAGATGAAGGTGCCTCTAAGTGCTGAGCCAGGGGTTGAGATCAGAGGTTGATATCAGAGCTGAGCTGCAACAGAGGCTCCTTGGTCCCTCTCCAGTGACCCTCACTGGAGCCCAGAGGTCTCCACTCCTCCGTTCATCCCTGCTCTGAAGGTGCCCAAAGTGGTGAATTGCTGGTGTTGATATTTTTGAGTTCTCAGGGTGCCCCTGGGGAAGGGGTAAGACCTGGCCCATCCCCTCAATCCCTGGAGGTAGGTGAAGACTCAAGTCCTCAAAGGGGGCTGAAGCTGAGCTCCTCCTGAAGGAGCTCTGGGCCAGCTCAGGGCTGGATTAGCAGGTGCTTGTAAAGGAGGAACTGCTGCTGAAGCAAAAGAGCTGAAACCTCTCAAACCTTGCTCATGCATCAAACCTCAGATGAAAACCCAGGGTGAGAGTGGAGTGTCCATTCCAGTCAATATTCCCTTCCTTTAAGGCTGCTCTGGGTCCAGTGTCAGGCTCAGGGTGTCCTGTGTGCCCCAGGAGCAGGGAGTGCCCGTGACACCCCTCTGTGTGTCTCTGTTTTCCTTCCACTCACCCTGGGCTTTTCCCACCTCACCCTGTGCCAGGTGCTCCGCAGAGAGCCTGGATTTGGAGGGATTCAGGTCCTTTTGGGTACCCAGCTGGGGCTCTGGTGCAGGAGGAGAGACCCTCCGGAGAACAGGAGCTGAACACAGGACCTGAGACACCGGAGCAAGGCTGGGACCTGCTCCCAGGTGTGTCCTGGCTGCCAGAGCTGCAGGAAGGAGCAGCAGCTTCTCCCTGACCTGTGCCAGGAGTGGCTGTTCGTGAGCAGGGGTGGGGGAAGCACAGGGGGCCCTTCCCCACCTCCTGCCAGGCTTTTCCCTGAGGATCCTGGAGGCTCACGCTGGCCTGGGCATAGTGGGCACTGCTGGAGCAGGAGCAGAAAAAGAAGCAGGAACAGGAGCAGGAGTAGGAACAGGAACCGAGGTAGGAACAGGAGCAGAAACAGGAGTAGGAGCTGGAGCAGGAACAGAAAGGAGTAGGAGTAATAGCAGGAGCACGGACAGGAGGAGCAGCAGCGGCAGCGGCAGCAGCAGCATCAACCCCCGGGCCGGCTCCCTCGCAGCGCCCCGGGTGTGATGAGCTCTCCAGGCCTCAGCACCAATTCCCGGTGTGTCTGTGCCCGCCCCTCCCGGCCTCCAGCCCCGCTGCTCCTCTCCCGGAGCTGCCCATGCTTCGCTCGGATCCCGCCTTACCTGGCGGCCGCGGGGCCCGGGGGGTCCCCGGGCGGCCCCGCTCCGGCTCCCGGCGCAGCGCCTTGCGTTTGTGCCTGGGAAATGCCCACCCGGCGTTTTATCGGCGCGGCTGATAAATATTGCATCGCCCGTGAACTTGGCGGAGCGGGGGCACCGCGGCACCGGCCCCGGCACCGGGCACGGGCCGGGGAGGGGAGCGGGGGGCGGGGGAGGCTCGGCAGCGGCTCCGGCTGCAGGGGGAGCCGCGGAAAGGGGGGCCGGGGCCCCGCTAATGCTGCGCGGAGCCGGGCCGGGCCCCCCCGGGCAGCACTCAGCATCCCGCCTCATTAAAGTTTCATCGGCAGCGCTCGGCCAAGGTCTATTTATGAAAATGCGCTTCTCGCTGCATGGAGAAAACAGGGACGGAGCGCAGGAACAAAGGGATGGGCTTTGGGAAGCGCCCGGGAATAAAGGGAGATGTGCGGGACGGGGTGCGGGAATCCCGCGGTGCGGGCAGGGCGGGCAGGGCTCTGTCGGCCACCGCCGAGCTGGCCCCGCTCGCCCAGGTGGAGCAACTCCTCCGACAGTTCTTTCGGGCACAGTTTCCCCTCTTTTCTTTCTTTCTTTTTTTTTTTTTTTTTGAGTTTTTTGTGTGTGTTTGTTTGTTGCTTTGTTTTTTGTTTGTTTTTCTTACTTCTTTGTGAAGTTTTAGGATGTTGTTTGTATTTTTTGTTTGGTTTCTTTTATGTTTTTTGTTTGCTTGTTTGGTTTTGGTTTTGTTTTATTTCACTTCATTTCGCTAGTTCGCTTTCATTCATTTTACTTCCTTTTATTTTATTTCACTTTATCGTATTTAATTCCCCTTCATTTTATTTCATTTCATTTCATTTAATTTCATTTTACTTTATTTTTTCTTGTTCTACTTTCCTTTTCCCCTGTAAAAACCGCAGCGTTCCGTCTGCCGGGCTTCAGCACCACGACGTGCGCTTGATTATTTCTTTCCCCCAATAAGTTATAAAACAAAACAAAACAACAATAAAAAAAACACCCACAAACAAAAACCCAAGCAAACAAAAAACCCTCAAACAAAAATAAAACAAAACCACCCCAAACAAAGAAAACCAACAAAAATCGCTTGCTTTTAGCCCTTTTCTCCGCGTGTCCCCGGGACGGAGCGGACCCCCAGGTTCTGATCCCAGAGGGGACCCCGCGGTCCCACCCGCCGAGGGTTTGAAGCGCATTTTGGGAGCTTTCGGTGCCATCGGCTGCGGGCGAGCGGAGCCGGGAGAGGGGAATGTCCCTTGTGACAGAGACACCGGGGGGTGACAGTGACACCGGGGGGTGACAGAGGAACCTGGGGCTGACAGTGACACCGGGGGGTGACAGAGGAACCCGGGGCTGACAGAGGAACCGGGGGGTGACAGAGGAACCTGGGGGTGACAGAGGAACCGGGGGATGACAGTGACACCTGGGGGATGACAGAGGCACCTGGGTGGGTGGCAGAGGCACCTGGGGGTGTCCCCCCGAGAGCAGCGGGCTCAGGGTGGCAGCTCGGCCCCGCCGCCGTTCGCGGGAGCTCCCGGCTGCTGCGGGAAGAGCCGCAACGACCCCCGGGCTGGGGAGCGACCCTCGGGCTGGGGAGCGACCCCCGGGCTCCGGGAGCGACCCCCGGGCTGGGGAGCGACCCCCGGGCTGCGGGAGCGACCCTCTGTCTGGGGAGCGACCCCCGGGCTGCGGGAGCGACCCCCGGGCTGGGGAGCGACCCCCGGGCTGCGGGAGCGATCCCCCCCCCGGGGGGAAAAAGGCCAAAAACGCCGCGATGGGCGGAGGGGAGCCAGGACCCCCGGTCCCCGCGGGGCCACCCCCGCTCCGTCCCGCGTGGGCGGCTCTGCCTCCCCCCTGCCCGTCCCCACGCAGGAGGACGGAGCCGGCCTCCATCCCCGCGGGGCACCGAGCCCCCGGGAGTCCCGCGAAAGCGGCCCCGGGCCAGGGGTTCCCCGGAGCCGCAGTAAGTGCAGGAGGCAGGAGGGTGAGGTAAAACGTGCATGATTTATTTGAAATGCTGCAGCGTACACAGACACCAAAATTTCATTCAGCACACACACAGCGGAACGAAATCTCCTTTAATTTAAAAAAGAAAAT